TCCAGTACGGCATCATGGTTTGCATACACCAAGTTACCTAAGATATCAATTTGTTGAAATGCATTTCTCCTGCAAAATTTTGCTTTTGACAGATTGGGCACCATCGGGTTTTCATGCTAACATCTCATGTCTGATCTGTGCAGCTGCTACCTGAGATGACTTGTTCTTAGCACCAGTTTTCATTAGGCCCTTACAACAGCAGTGAGATATCTGCAAATGCTGATAAGCTTCAAGGTTATTGGTTTTAACTTTGCCAAATAACTGTAATACTGTTGTGGCCAGGGGTTTGCGCCTTGGTTTTTTATGAGGGGAGGTAATTTCTTTTTATACTTTATCCTCATGTTCCATGCACAATAACTGTAACATGTTTGTTGGACCTTAAAACTCTCACTGTCATTTCAGAAGAAGTGTGTTCAGCCTTTATAGTGAAGAGTATTTCAAATATCTATTGGAGCCGTTTTGCATTAACTTCATTGGTTCTTCTGAATTTCTCAGGAAGGTCAGATGAACTTTGTCGTTGCCAGGCGTGCCTTGGTAAGTACACACTACTTGGAGATGAAGAAAATCCACAGTTGTCAATATATGACAGACGGCCCCCCTGCTGTGGCTGTGGAATAGGTTGGTCGTGGTGAGTCAATCTGCTTTGGCAATGAACTGCAATAGTCTTTTTCTCGCTTGTAAATGCTGTATTAGACATATTACTATTGCAGTTTTCTTCTAGGTTTCTTGTGCCCTATCATTTGGTACGTTGCAGCTCTTCTTTATTGCGGCAAGTACTACAATCGGGACCCTCGTGAACGGCCTGGACTCGCTGCTTCTGCTGTTCTGGTTAGTTTCAGAACTACTGTACATTCACTGCACAAACTCTTTATCCTATGAGGGAATTTCAAGTTTATGCTATTAGCACTGAACTCATTTGAGTTTATGTTGAAGGACATCATTTTGTTTCTTATTACAGTTCCTCTGGTTTGATTTGTGCAGGCGGTTATCTTTACAGCTGCAACTATTATAACCCTTTCTGTTCTGCTGATATGTTGTGCCAACAAACGGTTCTTGAATAGCTGTGCAGTTTGACCTGAATGATAGCAGCAAGATATCTATTGCAAAACATCAGCGTTGAACTACTAACTGAAATATTCTTTAGATTCTTTAGTCAGTCCATTTATTGTTGGACTGCAAAAGGGTAATCAACGGATTCTGTTTAGCATGATACATTATTATCACCTGTGAGTGTACATTACAGATTACTGAACTTGTGGAAATCTTAAAGCTATACTATATGCAGCAATTCCCTCTCTCCCCTGAAACTATTGAACAATTTTGTACTGCTAATATGCCTGATCAGAAGAATCAAAGTTCAGAACTTGTATCCAACCTGTCTGAAATTACATGAGCAGATTAATCTGGAATGGAATTTGTGCTGCATTTTTATTCTAATATAAGCTCTATCACCTTTTGTTCCTTTCCCCGCCATTTTCTGGAGTTTAACTGATGCAAAGGTAGCACGATGCATCATGCTGCCTGCCTCCTCTTGATCCTAACCCTCATCCCGTTCTTGGTGTGGAGCACCACTGAGTTCTGCGGCTCAAGGACCTGGCCGTCCACGCGCTCCACCTGAAAGTTGTATAAGATCGCTGCGGCAATCTTGATGTTGCTGAGCCCCAAGTTCTTGCCAAGGCAGCTCCTGGGGCCGCAGTTGAACACGGCGAACTTGTGGCTGGACTCGGCCAATATCGGACAGCCACCGTTCCGGTCGGAACTCGTGGCAGTCGCTGCCCCATATCCCCTCCATCCTGCCCATGGCGTAGATGCAGAAGATGACCCTGGTGCCCTTGGCCACCGTGGTGCCGTCAGGCAGCACGTCGCTACTGCCTCTTTCTCCTCGAACGGCGCCGGCGGGAACAGCCGCAGCGTCTCCAGGACCGCCGCGTGGAGGTAGGACGCGGGCTGGAGCGCGTTAGAGTCGAACACGGCGTGCTCGGCGCCGCCGGTGGAGGCGACCGTGGTGGTGGGTTGCACGGACCTGAGCTCGTCGAGGATCTTGACCTCGACGTGCGGGTGCGTGCAGAGCATGTAGAAGAACCAGGTGAGCGCGGCGACGATGAGGTCCTTGGCCGCGAACATGTATCCTACGGCGGAGTCCCGGAGGAACTGGTCCCTCTGCCGCTCGCTCATGCCGGGGTCCCTCGGCCACGCCATGTACAGTGACAGGAGGTCGCTGCCTTCTCCTGATTGGCTTCCGGTGGCGAGCCGTGACTTGCGTTCGGCGATCTCGCGGTAGACGAACTCGTGGAGGACCGCCTTGGCCTCGGCCAGCCTCCTCTCGGCGCCGACATTGAGCCACCTCAGCAGCCTCCACCACCAGGCCGGCACGATGTGCCTGAAGAGCGCAGACTCGCTGGCCACCCTGGTCGCCTGCCCGAACGGCGGCCCCGGCGCGTCGGCGGCGGCGACGGACAGCGTGTCCAGGTCGGCAAGGAACGCGGAGGCGTAGGACACGTCGAGCGAGTACCGCATGAACACGCCCTCGAGATCAACGACGCCACCACCATCCCCCTCTCGATCATCCGCGGCGGCGCGGTCCAGGAACGGCACGAGCAGCCGCGTCGTCTGCCGCGCCATGGTGGACAGGACGAAGAACCGGAACGCCGGGGTGCCGAAGACGGTGGCGGCGACGTGCCGCTGGCGCGCCCACGACGCCGCGTCCGCAACCAGCAGCCCGTCGCCGACGACGTCGAGCATCTCCGCGAAGTCCCGGCCCTTGTCGTAGCCCCCGTGGTTGGACGCCAGGCAGTGCTGGACGGCCGCCGGGTCGCACGTCAGCAGGAAGTCCGCGCGGGCGAGCCACGGCCCGCGGAACACGAACGTGCACCCGGACCCGCGGAGCGCGTCGGTGGTGGCGTCCAGGAGGCGGCCGAGGTTCGCGAGCACGAACGGGAGCATGCCCACCACGGGCCAGCTCACGGGGGTGCCCTGCCGCCGCGCGTGCACCGCGAGGCGCAGGGCGGAGAGGGAGACGAAGCACAATGCGGCCACGAGGAATTCCGGGTAGGAGAGGGCCAAGCTCCGGAGGGCGCCCATGGCATGGCTATGGCTGAGTGTGCATGAAAGGTGGAAGGAACAACTGTGGCTTGGTGGTGGCATGTACGTTAGCAAGCTTAGCATGGTTAGATAGATAGGCGTGCGTGCATGGCAATGGCATGATCGTGTGTTTCTGCCGGTGGTTCTTCCCCGTGGGAGTGTGCTTCCCATGGCCATGGGCTCACAACACTTGTGCGCATGGGGTGCGGAGGTTTGCTAGATATGGAAACGTGACATTGGCGTGGCTATTGCTTTTACCACCGTCGTCACTATTACCGATAGTAGTTTGTAGCTGTCCTTCACAAAAGTAGCTCAATGGAAAATCAATCAAGACGGGAAAAAGGAGGGGGGAAAAACATTCGAAAAGGTGTCGATGACGAGTGACGAGGCCGGGGAAGAATAAAAATCATGCACGAGACGGCAATCGAACCCAGATCTGTACCGTGGCAGGGTACTATTCCACCACTAGACCACTGGTGCTTTGTTTTCTTATTTGCATACTAAATGCTTAATTAAAACGAACGAATACAAATGAGAAATTTTTTTGACATAAGCACAACTGTTAAAACACTAGGAGTACCAGTTTTTTAATGACAAAACGATGATCTCGCTCGCTATATACAAGACTACCGGAACTATTGATAAATCTGCCTCCTGCTAGAGCTTCAATACTATTTCTACTGTAGCAAGGAGCCTACCTTTTCTCTTCTACCCAAAATCAACCGCAAAGAGTAGCCAGGGAACCTACATTTCACCAGTTCCAGCTCCCACGAGCCCATTGTAGCCACGGAAGCTATTTCACCAGCTCCAGCTCCCACTCGCCACATTGGTAAGCTAACATTACACCAGCTCCAGTGAGGCCCTACATTTCACCAGCTCCAATTCCGACTCGCCACATTGGTACAGCAGGAAGTGTTCAAAGCTCTACTAATAATGTTAATGTTACCTATTTTGTACAACTCTGCTTCACTCATTTAGAACCTCTTTGGCAGGGCTCCTGCAGTGGCTTCAGCTCCGGCTCTTGCAGGAGCTGTGCCAAACGTCTGTTTTAGAAGGGCTCCGCATGGGGAGCCGGTCAAGAGCCGGAGCCATTTTTTGCCTGTGTAGGAGAAGCCTCAAAAACGAGCTTCGCGCGGCTCCTTGCTGTGGGTTCACGTCGTCTAGTGCGAAAGAGCCGTTTTGCCTAACGTTTTCTAGAACGGCTTCAGCTCCTCGGGGAGCTGCTCCTTCAGAGAAGCCAGAGCCGGAGCTATTTTCAGAAGAGCCAGAGCCCTACCAAACAGGCCCTTAGTTTTTTTCCAGCTTCTTGAGCAGCTGCACTGGTAAATGTTGGTAAAACAATTTCTTATAGTAGATAGGAGAGGGAGTTAGAAAAAAGCTAATATTTTTAAAAAGAATATAATATGGAACTGATTTTAAAGAGAAGCTATCTAGCAGTCATCCCTTGTGAGACCTGAGACCTAATAATTTTAAAGAGCTCCTAAAAACTCCTGGATAATGTGTGGCAGATTAGACCTTAGTTGGAACAGCTGGTGCAGAGACTTGATGAATAATCTTAACTAAATGTTAATTTGAACTAAATGTGCAGACCCTGATGTTTTTCCAGCAAAAAAAATGACCTTTACAATAAAAACACGAAAAATTCGGAATCGCCATTTATCCACGGTCTTACGGACCATCTTCAATAGAGATTACATCAAGCGCGTGGGGGAAAAACCTGAGAAAGTGTACCCCACTGCTCTTAATCCTTCAACCATCCAACCACCTCCTTTGTCAAGAAACAAGAAACAGAATAACTTAACGTCCCAACACACATCCTCAAATGTGACCGAACAACCATCTCGCTTAGTTCACACCCCTACCGACTATAACAGCAGGTGAACAGGGTCAATCACACAAATGTTTGATCAACGGCAAAGCTAGGCCGAGGGATCTGTGGCTCCCTCAGGTTTGTCTGTGTCCATCTGCTCGGCTGGAGGCTCCTCTGCAGCTCCCTCACTGGCTGTGCTTTCGCCATTTGATTGCTGCTCCTCCGGTGTCTGAGGCTCAGGAGCCTGGGTGGTTTCTGCCGGAGGCGGAGTCTGTGGCTTAGGGGCTGGCTTCACTTTCGTCATAATCGGCTTGCAGAACCTGTAGATCAAGGTTTAGGGATAAGGCCTCTCAGTAATAAGGTGACTCGGAAAGGGAGAAGGGCATATAGACCATATACTAACCTGTCGAGTGTTTCAGCTTTCTTCTTAAGGTCAGCAGCAAGAAGGACCGGATTAGCATGCTTTGGCAGAGCATCCTGCTGCTGCTTTTTCTCTATTAGCCAAATCTCTGCTTCTGAACACTCGTTAATGACCTGCAAAACAAAATGAAATTAGTAACAAGCCAATGACAAAGTATTTCTCAAAACTTGTGAATCACATTGCAGTTAAGGTAATCTACCATGGGAATAGGAGAAAGCTCAACTACACTGTATTATATTTATTTATAGTTACTAGTGATATACCTTTTGCTTTTCTGACATGTCTATGTGTTCAAACTTCTGGTCATTAGACAGTGCAGCTTCTCTGAAGCTATTGATGCAGTATACCAGTTGGCTAACAGCAGAACTTCTAATCTCCCATTCTTTGAAGCGCACCTCAATAGGATCACCAACCTGCAATCAGAAAAGAAAAAAAAAATCCATCATCTATCTAAAACCCAGTGGCAGATCTAGGCATAAGCAGTGGGGGCACCTGGCCCCACAGTTTTTGCCAAAATAAGCTTAGCCCTAAATTTTGCAATGACTGTGTTAATTGGCTTAAAATCCTAGATCTGACACTGCTAAAACCTTAAATACCGAAAAACATTATACCAATGACCAACATAGAATAGTGTGCAAATATGCTAAAGAAGGCATACCTTTTTAAGTTCTTCTAGTTTAGCAATATAAACTCCCTTGGTCTCATCCTCGCCATCTTCATAGAGCCAGTCTTCAACCTCCTGAAGCTTAGCAATCAAACCTTCCTTGTCCTCAGGTGTGACAAAATCACTGTACTTGTCATATAGCTAAATAGAAGAAAACAAAATCAGGCTCACAACTTCACAAGACAACATTATTATTAGTATATGTAACTCAATATACCTTGTTACGCATGTCATACACATAAGCTTCAACAGCATTCTTCTTCTCCTTTGTTTCTTCCATTACTCTGTCTTGAAGAGACATCTCATACTCTCTCTCTACAGCCTTCTGCAGGTCAGCTGCAGCCAAGGCCCCATAGACCAACTCATGGACCGGAACAGTAGTTTTCTTAACTTTCTTTTTTGACGGCTCAACCTAAATACAATAAAGTCAACCAACAAATTATTAGTTTATGAACATACAACCAGGCATTCATAAACAGAACAAAATACAAGTAATATAACTTACGTGGACAAACAATTATTATAATTCTAACACACATGGACAGAACAAGAAAGCTAGCCTATAAATTACTCTTTGCGATGACATCTCAAGATACAAGAAAAAGCTCTGAATAAACAGAAAGCACTGTGTCTGGCAGCTCACCCATGACAATATAACAAAAAACCACTAATTCATCATAATATCATCCTCAAATCCTATAATCCAACAATTTGCCAAGAACATATCATACCTTTGCATCGGTTTCCATCGGAACAGATTTTTCCTCAGTATCTTGTGCTCCATTTTCAGCTGCAGGAGCAGCCTCAGTGGTATCAGCACTTTTAGGCTCCTGCATATTCACATCAGATCCAGCAGCAGGATCACTTGGCGCATCATCTGTGTCCATCTTCATAGTATCCTTTGGAGCTTCATTTGCAGATGAGACTGGAACTTCCACATCCTCCTCCAGCATCTGCATGCAAAAGTAGCATATAACAAAGTGTTAGAAACACTGACAGCCATCCCAAAGGAGGCTGCACAAACACATATCATTGTGAGAAAATCCCTTGTGTAGCACTGAAAAAAGTTGACCTTCCTCCTATAGCACTGAAAAAGTTTTCATGCCTTATATAGCACTAAGTCTCATCTTTTATTCCCTAGATAGGAATTTTCGTCAGCTTTGTGTGCATATTCTGTTTAGATTCCATCTCAGTTATACATCTTGGACCAAAATACCCCCAGAAAAAAGAACACCTTTCCAGGCTCTCACCATCGCCTGAGTCACGGGAGGTCAACACTCCCTCTCGGCTCTCACACGTCCCTCTCTCCTATCCCATGGCATCTTCCTCCCCAAACCCTAGATCTCAATAGGAGTGGCCTGGCCTTGGCCATGGATGGCATAGGCGGCGACCTGGCCTCAGCCACGAGTGTGAAGGGCGGCGGCCCAGCCATGGGCGGCACGAGCAGCGGCCCGGCGATGGGAAGCAAGGTCAGCGGGAGGGGAGGCAGGGGCGGCGCAGCAGCGAAGGCGGCCTTGCCAAGGGCCGTGTGCGGGTGCCCCGGCCATGGGCGACACGAGCAGTAGCCGGGCCATGGGCAGCAAGGTCGGCAGGAAGGAAGGCAGGCAGCAGCCGGGACATGGGCGACATGAATGGCTTGAAGGGTCAGTTACTTCAGCATGTTGGTAGTAGTAGGAATTTTCTCATGGTCAAGGATATTTTTTATGCACAGGATGGATCCGAAATCAACTTATTTGCTGAAAATTAAGCATCTTATTTGTTGCTGCAGTTGTAAAATTATATTATTATATTATCTTATTCCTCATGTAGAGGGCCACCAAAGAAGAAAAAGACCACCTCACCTTAGACAAGCATTGTGCCTTCAAATGATGAAGCACCAGCATGCTCTATGACTTTTCCACAAAGGTTAGTACAAATTTAATTGTGCTCCATTGAATATCTCATTTATTAACTTAACAACTCTAAGTAGTTTCCATGTCACCATAGCCAAAGTCTACAATCTGCAACTATAACTAAACGACAAGGAGGTAACTCAGAATCTGGAGGCTCTGTGAGGTATTCAATTGAATTCCTCGTTTACCGCATTTCTGAATTTTATTGTGCCAAACTATTTCTTCCATACATGTATAGGTGTAGGTCAAGATCTGGTTCAAACCAACCTGAGGCTATGTCTGTTGTCACGACAACTGCTCCTGGAAAGTTTGCCTACAAGGAAAAGGAAGCAGATTGCTAACAAGTAAAAGGGCAAGAGTCTTTTGGTCACATTTGACAGCCCAGCAATGGCCACAAGGAGCAAAAAGACTGACTCTGCTAGTCCTGCTATGAGCACGAGAAGCAAGAGAAGGTTTATTTTGTGATTGTTTCATGGTCTCTGATACACTCTGCTAGTCCTGCTATGAGCACGAGAAGCAAGAGAAGGCTTATTTTGTGATTGTTTCATGGTCTCTCATGTATCAGATATGTATGTATGCCTTTTATGTTTGTAAACCTAATGTACTACATGTGTGAACTTGGGCGCAAGTTATGTGTTCGAACCTATGTAATATTTGAATTGGTCATGTGAACCTACTGTGGTATTAGTGGGCTGATTGTGTTTGTGTCCATTCACTTGTTCATGCATTGTTGAACCTGTAGTTTTTCTGCCATTGTGAAACAGTGATATTTTAAAAACCGCATGAGCGTTACAGTGCATTTTTTCTAAACAGTATGTCCTTCCTATTTTACTAGAGAACTAGTCTAAGTGCATGAGCATGTTGGTCATAGGCGTGCTGCTGCATGCTTACAGGGCTTGTCATGCATGAGGGAGGGCAAATTTGTCTTTTTCATGTGGCACTTAACAGCATAACTGACAGAATTCCAATCTAGGGAACAAAATATGAGACTGGTGCTATATAAGGCATGAAAACTTTCAGTGCTATAGGAGGAAGGCCAACTTTTCTCAGTGCTACACAGGGAATTTTCTCTATTATTGTAACTTACCATTGCCGAATCAACTGTAACAGTCCCATGGATGTTGAGACGCACTTTCACTTTCAGTTTGGCCTTCTCTCCTTTGGAGGTTTGGAAAGGGCCAATCTGCCAGAGTTTAGCACATCATATCAAATCAACTATTGCAATACATGCAAGGGCTGTAATACTCAAACATATAGCACCAGCAGAACTACTATTGAATAACATAACCATTGTGAAAAGGATTGCTTACTGTGTAAGTGCTTATTTTTTGTGAAACTTGTGAGTCGTCTGGGTCGACATACAAAACATCAACTTCAAATGTACTGGATTTAAAGAAGGTAAGAGCTTTAGTGCTAGGAATTGCATTCCCCTTTGGGAATACAAGGGTTTGTTGGGGTGTATTCTGGGAGTCTCCATTCCATGACAATGCAATTGAGAAAGGAAACCCATCATTAACCTGCAAAATACCAATCCAGCGTCATTGCCAGGATGCAAGACATAAAAGCACATATCATATAGTAACCTTTCATTTTATACAGTTTTAATTAAGATCATTAAGTATGGAAATACATAACAACACAGTACCATGTACTTGTATGTGATGTGAATCAAACTGCTACTGTTGAAGATGTGGCAAGGATTCCACAAGATACACCACTAAAGGAAAACAGCACAAACTATAATGAAGAATTCATTAAAAAAGTTAGTGAGAATGTCACAAGGACACCTAAAATGTCGCAGAGGGCATTTTTAACACTACTACCACTATTGCATGCAGGGAAAATGGAATACTTAAGCACCTACTTTATCCAGCAATAATTACTACAGCAATTTTTCCATGAAAAACTTAAAAGGCTGTTTTAGAAGAATCTGTAATTTAAGAACATTTTGAATAAAACTTTAACCAGACAAGATCACTGAGATCAAATTAGTCCTTTTTGTTAGATATTAAAACACGAACCAGGAAAAACCAGACCACATTCATTGAATAGTATTGCAAATTTAGTTGGTCATTGGCACAAGTAAATGTTAGACACCCAGGGAAAAAATTCCACTTACTAGTTAAGTGACTGTTATTGCCAACCTAAATCAAATACAAGTATACATATCGGCTGCTCCACTAAACACCAATTTCAACAATTTACAAGCAATGAAGTGCGTAGCATTTGTAATGTCAAAAAGGGACAGCGCAGCAAACCAAATACTGTCTTCAAACTTTAAAACAGACTCCGTACTGACGGTTATTATAAGCAGGATTTTTCAGGTTAAACAATAGCATCTATCAACATTAGTTCTAGGAAAAAGACTACAGGAAAAAATAAAAGCCAGCGTGCAACAAGAACAAGAATATCTAGAAAGGTGAAGATAACATTGAAAGAGAAAAAAAAGGGTGATAGACTGTTTGATTGTTGACACAGTGCTGTGATCTATTTTTCATGAATTAGCAGTTCCAGTGGCGCACATCTTTCGAAGTTTTAGTTTCCAGATGGCATGCAACTGTTGCAGTATCCAATACTATTAATTGAACATAGACAGCAGCACACATCTTTCTAAACTTCAATATGTATAAGTCGGCATAAAAAACAAATATACATATCAACTACTCGATTTTTTAAAAAAAATAACAATTTACAAGCAATGAAGTGTGTGTCATTGTGTAATCTAAAAAGGGACAACACATCAAACCAAATACTTTCTTCAAACTTTAAAACAGACTCCTTACTGATGGTAATCAAAAGCATGATTTTCAGGTTAAACAACAGCAGCTATCAGCATTAGTTCTAGGAAAAAAAGAACAAGTTTAAGAATATATACTAGTCTGGTATGATCCAATCCATAGTAACAGAAAACAGATATACAAAGGTAAGCTGAGGAGCATACCTGGAATTCTCGCACTTTGAAAGTGGGGCTGAGAATAGCACACTGAAGAGCGCATCCTCGCGCAACACACTCACTTGCATTCATGGTCCGTCTTGGCTCCTTCCCAAAAAATTCAGTAATTATCTTGATTATAGCCGGAACACGAGAACCAGATCCGACAACCTCAACAAAGTGCACATTTTCAGTAGTCAACCCAGCTTCAGCCAAGGCCTTCTCCAGTGGCCCTTTCACGCGTTCCAGCACAGAGGCACTGATCTGTTCGAACTCCTCCCTCTTAATAAAACCCCGCACATCCTTCTCATCCATCAAGCACTCAATGTTCAGTGGGGCCTCTGGGTTGGCGCTCAGCATCTTCTTAAGTTTCTCACATGCCACGCGCAACCTAATGCATGCACGCGCATTCTGGTACACATCAATCTTATATTCCTCTTTAAATTTTGCTGCAAAGTGCTTAAACAGGGCCTCATCAAAGTCCCTCCCGCCAAGAGACCGGTCATACGTATGCGACAACATCTTGAGCTGTCCTTTCTTGTAACCAACAACACTGACCTGCATGCTTGCATGACCGACATCAACAAATGCAACGTTCAACTGGTCATTCTCTGGGAGATCAGTCTTATAAATACCATATGCCAGGGCAGTGGCTGTCGTCTCATGGAACAATCGCAATGGCCGGAGACCCGCAATAGTAGCAGCATCAAGAACAGCCCTGCGCTGCAGATCTGTGAAGTAGACCGGGATACCAATGCAACAATCAACAACTGCGGCATTCAGGTTACCCTCAGCAATGCCCTTCAAATTGGACAGAACCATGGCAAGCAGCTGGGTGGGGGTGAACGTCCGCTCCTCGCCCAGGTACCGTGCATGGACCAGGGGAAAACCATCGGGGCCCTCCGTGACACGGAACGGGAAGGAGGCGAGATCGCTCTGCAGCTCGGGGTCGGAGAACTTGCGGCCGAGCAGGCGTTTGATCTGAGAGATGGAGTTTTTGGGGTTCATGGTGGAGGACGCGGCGCCGGCGGTGCCGATGAACCGCTGCTTGTCCCCGAAGCAGACGATGGCCGGTGTCTCGCGCTTGGACTCCTCGTTGAGGACCACGTCGATGCCGCGCTGCCGCGCGACCGCCACGATGCAGCTCTCATTGCCGAGGTCGAGCCCCACCACGCTCATCTTCGATGCAAACTCAGCTGCCGACCACTACAGCTTCAGATCTGGATCACGAGCAGCCACTGCATCGCAAAAGGCAGAGATCTACAGGTTAGGCAGGTCACAGAAGCGACGAATTCTTCCGTGAATCTAAGACGAGAACGCTGAAACCATGAATTTCACGCATCAAAACGAACAGCTATGAACTCTTCACCAAACGCAATGCGAATCCCAGCCGACGACTATAAACCCGCCGTCCCAGTCGACGGCTCCAAACCCGCCGCAAAAACATCCAAACATTAACCTAACCATCCAGTAAGGAGGAATGGAGAATCCGATCGTACCTTCAGAGGTGGAGACCGAGGCCCGTCGAAGCTCGTAGCGCCGCAACGGAAGTACGGGCAGGGCTTTCCTTTTGGCGAGAAGGGGGAGAGGAGGCGGTGATATACGGTGTGCGCCGCGGGGTCGGCCAAGACGGGAATCTTCTAGAACGTGGACTGGAAACCCTCGGTGCTACGATCCTGCGCCGCCAGAGATAGACATCTGAGCCGCTGGTTTGATGCCAAGTTTCATGGACGGTTAGATGGGTGCTTGAGTTTTTTTTTTTTTTGGGTATAAACCATGTGTGCTTGAGTTTTGCACCTGTTGGATCCCTTTGTGGGAATAGGTCAATAGACAATACGATGGGATGATGAGTTTTCTTCCAGTTTTCCAACCTAGTTCTAGTTGTAGTTCTAGTAATAAGTAGTAATCAACCTGATCGACATATCAATACAATATGGTTGTGGCTTTATAGCATGTGCTACAGTACTCTACAAGTATGGATATACAGCCGCAGCAGCAGCTGCAGCGAGCGGAGCCAATAATGAAAAAGAAGAAGAAATACAATGACCATGAAGCCATATAGGGTGGCTTATGAATGTGCGATCAACTTCTACACTCGCAGCGGCTGAAATGAACACTCTCATAACGCACAATGCTAACAGCTCAAGCGAACACTCTCATAGCTTTGGGTCAGTTTGGTTCTCGGCTAGTCTTGCCTTACCTCGCCAGGCTAGGCTAGCCTTACCTTGCCAAGGTGAGAGCTAAATTGGCTAGCTTGAGATAGCAAGAATATCCTTGATAACAAAATAAAAGAAAAAAAGTCTGCAAGAGATTCAAACACTCAACTACGCATGGTTTTCTTGCCTTGCAAGGTGAGTCAAGATTTGGCTAAAGATCCAAACATTCCCGTAACATGCAGGATGACCACGTGTACACCCATAAATAACAAAAAATATAAATAAATAAATAATCATTTTTGTTTCCAATTCTGTTTTTTCCTACCATCGGCCTCCATAGTCGTCCTTGACTAGTGGCGCACTCTTTGTCGGTTACGTCATCAATCGCTCGTTGCCGCCCTTTCACCCGTCCACCACTAACAAAGAGCAGTCATAGTGGTGGGTCAACCCATCCAAGAGAGAGAGTGCCACGTGAGCAGCAAGGAGGAGCTCAGCTCACACGATCACTAGTGCCACTAGATGCTAAAACTCTAAGCAAATGCACTAGAATCACTCATAATCTCACAAAGATGATGAATCAATGAAGGAGATGAGTGGGAGGTGTTTGACTTAACTCACAAAGATGTATCAATGATCAAAAAGTCCAAGAGGGTGAGCTAGAGCCGGCCAACACCTATTTATAAAGCCCCAACAAGTCACATACTCGTTGGCCCCCTCATCCTGATTTTTGCGCACTGACCGGACTCTCCTGCAGTGGTCACCAGGGTCTGGTCGCCCGATGATCACCACGTGTTACTAGTCGTTTGAATGTTACCATTGCCGCTCAATGGCTCTTCGTGCGCGCTCTTCGCCTTTGGACCGGACTCATCGATCAACTGAACGGACTCGGCTCCCCTCAGGGTCCGGTGCGGTACAGGGAGCTCCTAGAGCCTCAAATGCATGGTTGGATCTGTCCAGTCTCCCCTGACCGGACCCTGACCAATGTTCGGATCACCTCTGAGCCCACTGCTAGATGGTGAATAGTGCTAGGGCGTGTCCGGTCGTGCCCTCGAGCTAGCGTTCGGTGCGCCCGCTACTCTCGGCCTGAGCTAGGGTATGCCACCGAACTCGCCCGACGCGTCTGGTCACCTCAGTGCCCTTCATTCTCCTCTTTCATCCCTTGTGCAAATGTGTTAACTCCACCAAGTCCCATCACTTGTGCACATGAGTTAGCATTTCACAAACATGTGTTTTCAAGGGATGTTAGCACTTACTAGGTCCTAATGCAAATGCATTGAGTTAATTCATATAGTGGCACTAAGATAACCGTAGTCACTTCGAGATCACCCATTTTAATAGTATAGCTATATATCCTAAACCCAATCACACCCTCTATGGTGTCTTGATTGAAAAAAACAAAATGGCTCTATCTATTATACCTTTGCCTTGAGCCAATTTTGCTTTTCTCTTTCTTTTTTTTCAAGTTGAAGCCTTGATCTTCATTTAGGCCATCACCATCATCATGACTATCATCTTCTAGCTCCATCACTTGGCCTTGGACCATCCTCTCTAATTTCAAACACTTAGATAAAGGATTAGTCTAATAGGTTTCATCAATTATCCAAAACCAAATGTTGACGGTCACTAACGATCAAATCCGACCGCCAAATAAAGTCCAAAACGAGAGAAATGAACATTTACCTAGATCCACTTGTATTGTAGAAAACATGTTTTGCAGAACTTATATTCGAATACAAGTGGAAAACCAACCAAAACGTGCAAAATAGAAAGCGTAAAATAGAAATGCGCGAAGAGAATAAATGGAAAAGCCCACCTACACGCCAAACTTGGGTCGACCACCACCACGGGAGGGGTCTAGATCCAGCCAAGAGAACATAGGAGCAAGGCGGTGGCGAGCGGGGCCAGCCAAGGTGCGGGCACACCTTGGGTGCACCCGCACCCCCACCACCGCCTCTCGGGCCCACGCTTCTCTAGCAGTTGCATGCCGCCATGCATAGGTGTGGGGGGTACGACCCCGGATACCCACGACAGACTACATGGGCTGCGCCGCTAGGGGTGGTCCAGCCCACAAGATGAAGACTTACCGTGCACGATACTGCTCGGCGTGTACCGCAAAACATCAAGGGCGATATCCTAAAGATGCTACGAGATCTGTTAGGATATGCTCGATCCCGTGATTCCTATAACCTGTTATTACTTACTAGTTATCTCCTAGATCTAACCGTCTTATAACCCTACCCCCTGGCTATATAAGGCGGGTAGGGGACCCCCTCAAAACACACGCAATATCATACGATAGCCAATACAAACCAACAGACCATAGGAGTAGGGTATTACGTCGTGTTGATGGCCTGAACCTATCTAACTCTTGTATCTCTATTGCCTTCTTGTTCTTGATTACACGCACCTCCGCCGATCAATCTACCTTCGTGGGTTACCCCTCGGAGGACTGCCGATGATATTCTGTCGATAGTTGGCGCGCTAGGTAGGGGTGTGCATGTTGTTTCCATAACGAACAAGATGGTACACTTTTCAGGCTCTTCGTCCTCTCCAAAGCCCGACTAGATCTTTATGGTCGGATCGATCTCCTAGGTCATCAATGCTGACGGAGACGGAGAGATCATCAAGCTGGTGCATATTGATTCTACGCCGACCACACCAACGCCTGCAACAGCAGATCCGATCTCGAAATCGCTTCTGAGGTCGTCTTCACCAACAACTCGCTGCCTGCTGCCCCGCTACTTGAGGAAGCAGGTCAACAACGATGATCTGATCGCATCTATCGATCAAGTCGGCCAGAAGCTCGCCGACTGCCTCTCCCTCACAGAATCGGCTCTAACCACTCTGGTTTAACTAGTTTTGATCCATCGGAAGCCGATCGACAAACTCTAGGGGATACGGCCACCATCCATTAGGATGCCCCAAGGAACAAATTTGCTAACCAGATTGGAGACATCTATCCTCCCACCGACCCGATCGTCGACCAGCTCTCGCTGAATGTCAATATGCTGCAAATTGGCCAACATCCCGAAGAATCCCTCCACACCATCCTAGAGTATAAATCCAGATTCTGAGTCCCAGGGCTCTACGGAGATTGTCGCCGAAACCGCCGCCGCCCAACCTCCTTTTCCACCCTTCCGTGGAGGTGGGATTTTTAATGTCAGCATCGACAGCCCTCCGTGGGATGGAGAAACCAATGAGGACCGCGCAGCTCGCGTCAATAGAAACGCCAACCATGCGCAGCGCCGAGCGAATAAGGCCACCATTGTGCTAGCCGAAGCTGCTCGCAACGGAGAACAACTCAACTCGTAAGGGAGGCCACGCCCACTCTGCCGCAACCTCGACGATGAATTCGTCCATGTTGACGGCCACGATGTCTACAAGACCCCAAGCACCAACCTGGCCATGGCCGCTAACGAGCTTGCTCGGCTCAAACCAACGTCAGAGGTCACCAAGGTCGCCGCAATGCTTAAAGCTGTGCACTACTAGGTCAACGAGATCCACCATGATTAGGGACCTTCCTACTCGACAAGCTCAAATCACCGATCCGCCGCGCCAAGATCCAATCGCTGCCCCAGCAGAAGCCGTTTCGCCAACCAACATCGTGATGATAGACAACCCCTCTAGGGGGGAGCTAGGGGGAACCATATCAACAACCCTCGCCAACACGACCAAGAAGTCAATCAAGATGTCCGAGCACACATCAACAACCTCTGGGATGCACGATGTCATATCGATGGGCGCCATTTCTCTTGGCATGAGGAGGAAGTACGCCGGTGTCAAGAAAGAATTCGGTAATCCGAATGCAGCCCTCCAGCCACTTAACATCGGCAATGCTCCTGATCCCAACGGTGATGACCCCGAAGGGCCTTGAGCATTCACGAGAGCACTCCGAACACTCCAGTGGCCTCGTGGTTTCAAAATCACCGGGGTCGAGCCCTACGAGGGGCAGATGAACCCCACACAGTGGCTACAAGCTTATGCCACTGCTGTGCGTGCCGCCGGGGGAGATACCAGTGTCAT